TTTTATTATATCTTTATTTACTGCAATCCGTAAAAGGCATATAGACCAAGCTGACATCATGACAAACTACTACATGTATTTAAAAAGTCGCTTGTGGCGAGTATTTGGGGCAAATTAGGTCATTTTGCCCCCAGATGCGACCACACCAGTCCCTAACACCCAGGTACCATTTTAAACTGATGGGGAACAGGACAGGACAGCAGGTGTTTTATAAAAACACGTCCCAATGTTTACCAGCCGTACCGAAGAGATTCGAACCCAGGACCTCAGTGTGTAGCTGATGCGCCAGGATAAGCTAGGGGTCCCCTACGAGTAAAACCCGACAAAAAAAGTTTGCTTTACTAAAGGTTTCGCACTCTCTGTGCGTCCCCAGGAGCTACCAAGTTGCAAGACTAACAACAGATTGGGTTTAAGACCGAGAGCTTCGTGAGATGGGAAGGAAGAAGGAAAAGGAAGGAGGAAATAACGGGAAAAAGGGGGAAAAGAGAGGGAAAGAGGAGGAAATCAAGGCAAGGGGCCCCAAACCCTTTTTGGGGATATGGGGTACCGAAGTCTGAAGCGTAGAGGGGAGAGGCTTGAATGAGACGTTGCTTGTTCTCTAGAGAGGAGGCGAAGGCAGGGGCAGGGGCGAGATTTTCAGTGGGGCAGCAACAGGACGATTTATTTTCTCATTAATGCTGTTATAAAATGGTGAAATTTTTTTTGAGAGTTGTATCACATTTATGGGAGTCGTAGAAGAGTTCTTTGGGTTTGAAGTTGGGGGATTATCTGTTCGACTTTGGGGTATGGCGTTTCGTCGGGGGTGTAGTTGCAGTTTTGCTTTGAGATTTGGGCGATTTTCTAGGCGACCATTAGGCTGGGACAATGCTTCAGGGTGTAACATGAGTCCTTTTTTTTAGCCAATGTGTGCCAGGTAATCGACGGGGGTGAGGGGGAAAAGGGCGTGGGGAAGTTGAGGAAAGGTGGGGGTGCTCGTTTCACTTCAAGGGAATTAGAAGATGTTTCTGGGGGCAAGGCTTCTGATTGGTTGGATCATAAAGGGGTGGGGGGGTTTTAGCTTCTCAGGCGCTGTTGGTTACGTCCATTTTGGGGTTTTTGAGGAACTTCTCAAAGAGTTGGTGAAAAACCTTTGGGGAAATTTTAAAAATTTCTTCAAAGGTGGAGATGCGGAAATGTAAATGATGGCAGTTATTTTAATGCAAATAACTCGTTGAGGGTAGAGTTAAAGGATCCGGGACAGCCATTTTTTTGCATGTGAGCGTATAGTAGCAGAAATAAATCTTCTTTACGTCACACGGAGAGTGATGGTATGGTGTGGAGGGGGGCTGAGAATGTTTGAAGAAAATTTGTAGTGCACCTGAAATTTTTGCAATTGCGGCATACGTTGGTGTGTTTTTGGGTAGTTTTTTTTCTTTGTTGCATTTGTGTTTCTTCATAAATCCTTTTTTTGTAGACATTTGCTGTAATGTATAAATATCATTACTCGCATTTTTAAAACACGCTGGTTGTTTGGAGCAGCACGGTGCGGGAACTGAAGGTGTGCCCTCACTACCACATTAGTGCAAACTTTTTGTTTTTTACTGGACATGTTTTGGGTGGGTGAAGATAAGAAAGCAATCCAGCAAGTTGGTTATGGTATCTCTCTGCTTCATGTAGGGGGGACGATGTAGTAGAGTAAACGCAAGCCCTTCTTTCAGAGCAGTGGCAGCCATGTTCACGTTGGAAAGGTGACCTTTTACATAGACGATGCTTTGGAATTTTGGGAATGCATCAAAATTTGCCCCCGTATTTTGCGTTTCAACGATGACTTGAGTTCAGCAATTTATTTAGAAACAAATCTTGTCCCGTTTTTTAGGAAACGATTTTCTTGCCTGAGGGGGGAGAGGAGAACAGTAAATCCTGACATAAGATAGTGGTGGCTTCTGTGGTGAGTAACTTTTCCCACTTCAGCACATCGTGACATTTCAACAATGAATGCTTCTTTCAGTGACAAAAAAAGCATTGAATTTCACTTGCAATGCTTTCCTGCACAATAGTTTGCAAGAGCAAGCTTCGTTAAACATCAACGGGACCACTTTTGGCTTCATCTTTTCAACGATTTGCGTAGCTCATCGTGTAAGTTAAGAAAATTACGCTGGTAAAATTCCCCCCCCAAAGGGGGCGTAGGGGGACGAATAATAAGGAGAGCTGATGACCTGCCGAGGCGAAAAGTCAAAGCAAATCCTGTCTGTCGAGTGTCTGTCGCGTGATTTCAACAACAGATAGTAGAGGGAAAATTCCTCGATCAAGGGAGAAGCGTCAGGTCCCCTGTCACCAGACTGTGCCCCGGCTGACGCTTCATGCTTCTGCCTTTTTTTCAACATCTTTTTCCCCCCTCCACTATATTTTGCTTCTTGCAACACTGCTAGCTCCTGACGACGACGCAGTGTGCGAACGACTTGAGTTTAAAGATTTCCATCCCCCCTGTGACTTTTCTGCACAGCGCCACACGCACACACACACAAACACACACACAACCACACACCACACACACACAACAACACCACACACACACACCACACACCACACAACACCCCATGCATCAAAATGTTAAAACACTACCAGAGAGAGAGGAAGGATAACCAGCAAGGTTGGCCTTGTAAATTTACCAGATATTCGGCACGAGGTTACATGTATAAAGGCCCCGGGAGCTAGTGATCATGTGTTCGTGCTTCGACTACATTTGACCCAAGTGGAAAGTAGCAGGAAAACTGGGAAAAACCAACACAAAAGGGGGAACTACTCAGGGATGAGGAAATTCTCAAGACATTTAGTGGGGGAGGAACGACAGGGAAAACCCGTACAAAAATGAGGACTATGTACAACAAAAGCAAGAAAGGGAGAGGAGAGGTTTTTTTCCCAAGGGGAAAAAAAATAATGGGAAAACAGAACGAATCCTTGGGTTCACCCAAAGGTGTAGGGAGGAAAAAAATAGGGGTAAAATAGAGAATGGAAAAGGGACAAAGACAGAGAACTCTGAAAAAAAGAAACACCAAAAAAACCAGAAACAATATGCACAATAAGAAGGGAGGCCAGAGACAATATGAAAAGACAAAGCTCAAAATAAAGACTGCCCGAAGCTGTTTTTACAGCCCCATCAGGGGGAAAACAAAAGTCAAAGGGCCAGGGAAACAGACTGAGGGGAAAGGGGGATGGGGAATTCACAAGAAACACCGAGAAGGGAGTCAGGGCCAACACAAAATTAAAGAGGTTTTTCAGTGGAAACCAGAGGGCTCCAAGAAATCAAACGGGGGCACACCAGCAAGTGCTGGAACAGGTACATATAACCAAGGAGGGGGTGAAAAGCTCTATGCGAAATTGACACCTCAAAGGCGGTGGGACCAGACAACATCTCTCATGGGTCCTTAAAGAGGGAGCAGAGATATTTGTGATCCAAAAAAAGATCTTCAACACACATTTGAAACTGGGCAACCCCTGAGGATGGGAAAAAGGCAAAGTTTTTCCCAATTTTTAAAAGGGGGACAAATGGCCTAAACTACAGACCTGTAACTCTAAAAGTGTAAGTACAAAGGGCAGGAGAAATCAAACAGGAGGAGATGGGGGGCACCTGGAAAGAAACAATGTAAAATTTGAAACCAGCACGGTTTTCAGGGAAGGGAAAATCCTGTGTCACAAACCTACTAGAGTTTTATGACAAGGTGACAGAAGTAAGACAAGAGAGAGAGGGGTGGATCGACTGCGTATTTTTGGACTGCAAGAAGGCTTTCGACACAGTTCCTCACAAGAGGTTACTGCAAAAGCTAAGAGGACCAGGCACACATAACAGGAAAGGCACTGCAATGGATCAGAGAATATCTGACAGGGAGGAAACAACGAGTCATGGGTACGCGACGAGGTGTCAGAGTGGGCGCCTGTGACAAGCGGGTTCCACAGGGGTCAGTCCTAGGGCTGTGCTGTTCTTGGTATACGTGAACGACATAACGGAAGGGATAGACTCAGAATGTCCTTGTTTGCAGACGATGTGAAGTTAATGAGAAGAAATCGAATCGGACGAGGATCAGCAGGACTACAAAGAGATCTGGACAGGCTACAAGCCTGGTCCAGCAACTGGCTCCTTGAATTTAAACCCTGCCAAATGCAAAGTCATGAAGATTGGGGAAGGGCAAAGAAGACCGCAGACACAATATAGTTTAGATGGCCAAAGACTGCAAACCTCACTCAAGGAAAAAGATCTGGGGGTGAGTATAACACCGAGCATATCTCCTGAGGCGCACATCAATCAGATAACTGCTGCAGCATACGGGCGCCTGGCAAACCTACGGATAGCGTTCCGATACCTTAGTAAGGATTCGTTTAAGGACTCTGTACAACCATCTACGTCAGGCCCATACTGGAGTATGCAGCACCAGTTTGGAATCCACACCTAGTCAAGCACGTCAAGAAATTAGAGAAAGTGCAAAGGTTTGCAACAAGACTAGTCCCAGAGCTACGGGGATTGTCCTATGAAGAAAGGTTGAGGGAAATCGGCCTGACGACACTGGAGGCCAGGAGGGTCAGGGGAGACATGATAACGACATATAAAATACTGCGCGGAATAGACGAGGTGGACAAAGACGGGATGTTCCAGAGATGGGACACAGACACAAGAGGTCACAATTGGAAGTTGAAGACTCAGATGAATCAAAGGGATGTTAGGAAGTATTTCTTCAGTCATAGAGTAGTCACTCCATGGAATAGCCTAGAAAGTGATGTGGTGGAGGCAGGAACCATACATAGTTTTAAGGCGAGGTATGATAGAGCTCATGGGGCAGGGAGAGAGAGGACCTAGTAGCAATCAGCGAAGAGGCGGGGCCAGGAGCTGTGACTCGACCCCTGCAACCACAAATAGGTGAGTACACACACACACACACACACACACACATTATATCGTGTACATGTATAATTTATATATTACACATCATGTGTGTGGCAATTTATACATAATAACACTCTCCTTTCAGACCACAGTCGCCTATTGCCGTCATGGATTCAGACGAGTACAGGAAACGAGGTATGTATTGTCTGTTCGTACCTTTGTATGCATGTCTTTCTGCATATGTTTGGTTTCCAGGGTAAGATAAGATAAGATTTCGTTCGGATTTTTAACCCCGGAGGGTTAGCCACCCAGGATAACCCAAGAAAGTCAGTGCGTCATCGAGGACTGTCTAACTTATTTCCATTGGGGTCCTTAATCTTGTCCCCCAGGATGCGACCCACACCAGTCGACTAACACCCAGGTACCTATTTGCTGCTAGGTGAACAGGACAACAGGTGTAAGGAAACGTGTCGAAATGTTTCCCACCCGCAGGGAATCGAACCCGGGCCCTCCGTGTGTGAAGCGGGAGCTTTAGCCACCAGGCCACCGGGCCACCAGGTCCCAAAGATTCTCTTGACCAGGGCCCCGGGAGCCCTCAAGACCTCCCCTGCTGCATCTCACTTATCTCAACCAATAACTTCATTAGAAACCGAAACTTACGCATCTTCCGTGTTCTCCTATCTCCCCTTCCTTTCCCTAGAGGTGGTTAGGGAGTGGGAAGGAAGGGTAGGAAGTGGGAAAGGAAGGTAGAAAGTGGGTAGGGAAAGGGAAGGGAGGGTAGGGAGCTCTGGAATTCGTCATATCATCTTGTCTCTCTCCGTCCGGAGGGACCATAGCAAGACGTTCGCACAGGACAGAGGAAATATGATGATGAGTGACAACCCCATCCCCCTCGGGGGACCAACGCTGGGTCACCACCTGGAAAAGTCCCGGACCGGGACAAGACCGGCGAACCTACTACAGTACAATCATATCATCGTTGTCAACCTGACACAGCCGTCACCGGCTGCTTCCTCTTTCTCCATCTCTCCCTCCTAATACTCTTCCCCCTCCCCGTCCTACTCTTCATTTTACATCATCCAGTATTCTCTCAAGTTTCTTCTATTCTTCCTTTATTCACCTGTTTTTCCCCCACGTCCAAACATCGCTACGTTTCCCACATACATAAACAAAAATTAAATTTTAACAAGTTGATTTTCTTACGGTATTCCCAACGTCAGTGTCAGTCCTGGTAAAGTAGTGACACCACCGTGGCAGTGTACGAGGCAGGGTGCCGCTGCTTCAAGTGGTTACTTAGCGGCACTTTAGTCTCTTCATCAGCGACATAACTCATCATCATCATCATCACATATTTATCACCGGAGTGTCGGCACGGGTGCCACCTCCATCACTGGCTCTCTCCTCCACCACATTGAACATAAGAATATAAGAAAGAATGAACACTGCAACAGGCCTACTGACCCATGCGGAGCAGGTCCATGTCCTCCCCCCGGATTAGGCCAATGACCCACCCAGTCTGGTCACCTCCACTCAAAGAAGGAGCACGGCACTAGACCCAGCAGCACAAGCTAGTCAGGTCCAACTCACACCCACCCACACCCACTCATGTATTTATCTAACCTATATTTAAAGCTACACAACGTTTTGGCCTCAATAACTGTACCTTGGAGTTTGTTCCACTCATTCACAACTCTATTACCAAACCAGTGCTTTCCTACATTCTTCCTGAATCTGAATTTTTCCAACTTAAAACCATTGCTGCGAGTCTTGTCTTGGCTGGAAATTTTCAGCACGCTATTTACATCCCCTTGATTTATTCCTGTTTTCCATTTATACACCTCGATCATATCCCCCTTATTTCTACACCTTTCGAGAGAGTGCAGATTCAGGGCCCTGAGTCTATCCTCATAGGGAAGATTTCTGATACATGGGATCAACTTTGTCATCCTCCTATGTACGTTTTCCAGAGCATTTATATCCATTCTGTAATACGGTGACCATGTTGAGAAATGTGCTTACCAGCTAAGCTTATTATTTATAAATTTAAATATAGGGAACATTTAGCTGATAAAAGACAGCAAATCGTCTACACAGCCGCCCCTGCAGACGAGGTCTTGAATTGTTGTCATGATCATCTCTCAACGGGCTGGAATAGATCATAATTTGTAAGATTATAAATTACCCCTAGGGGGTGTTATGTCAGCATATTTCATTCACTGATTGCTGACAAATTACATACTTGTTTGGACTCAAAAGTCCGCACCTTACTGCCGACTATAGGTTGATTACAAACTCCATGCGACTCAAGAACTGCGCAGTCCCCCGTACTACAAGAAATTCGTAACCTACTTTGCTCTTGTAGCGTGAGCTATGGTGTTCTTCGCACCTTCGACAGATATCAGTGACTTGATAGAAGCTGAAGTGTCCTTGGATGTCCACGTCTTCCATAGTCTAGGAATACGCACACTGGTACACTATGTTCTACAAGATTTGTCTTTATTGTTCACAATCTTATTACTAAAGAAGCTGATCACACTTCTCTTAAGTGTTTATTGTGTTTTATGAGACACTTTGTTCACACTAACGCACAGATCAGTGTTCTTTGTTGACTATCCTGGCATCAGTGTCACTCTCAGTAGAGTCAAAAGTAATCTCAAGACGTCACAGCACCCCACGCCGTCACTGCCCCCAGCACAAAGGAAAAGCTGACCTAGTACTTTTTGCTTCCTTGCCACTTCCTCAATGAAGCAAAGCAGAATGTTTGATTCTTGCTGTCTTAAGCATAGACAACAATATACACTATCTTTACCATGATAATAAAGTGGGAGCAGGATTTTCCTTAATTGTCCTGCTAAGGTAAAAAATGGACTGTCTCTCATTAAACTACACTTTGCAACACATGACCGCACGGAGCGTTGAGCCACGTCACATACTGGTACTGCATTTGGGGTCAATTACTCGCTGTAGCAGTAAACAAGATAGTTGCCCCTTCTGAGAGGGCTGGGCCCCTCAGGGTTGAAAGGGGCTGAAGGGGGCTGATACCCGCCTCCTGGAGAAAATTTCTCCACAGACCAGAACTGAGCAGCATAGTCTAAATGAGGCCTAACCAAGGATGTATAGAGTTAAAGAACAACCTGAAGACTTCTATTATTTACACTTCTAGATATGAAGCCAAGAATTCTGTTAGCTTTATTGCGAACACTAATGCACTGTTGTCTTGGTTTTAGATTACTGCTAACCAGAACCCCTAAATCCTTTTCGCAATCAGTAGTATTAAGATCTACATTATTAGTTTATATGTCGCATGGTTATTTTCCTGTCCAACATTTAGAACTTTGCATTTGTCTATATTAAACTGCATCTGCCACTTCTGCATCAGTCTATTCAAATCATCCTGGAGTGCTCTAGTGTCCTCATTAGAATGAATTGGACGGCCTATTTTGGTGTCATCAGCAAATTTGCTTATGTCGCTATTTATTCCCTCATCTCTGTCGTTTATGTAAATTGTGAACAACAACGGGCCCAACACTGACCCCTGAGGAACACTGCTTGTGACGTGCCCCCATTCTGATTTCTCCCCATTTATGCAAACTCTCTGCTGCCTATTTGTCAGCCATGCCTCTACCCAGGAAAAGATTTATCCTATTCCGTGTGCCTTAAGTTTCCTCAACAGCCTCTGATGTGGAATTCTATCGAAAGCCTTACTGAAGTCCATATACACAATATCATATTCATTACCATGATCTACCTCCTCAAACACCGTAGTGAAAAATATTAGTAAATTCGTAAGACAGGAACGCCTCTTTGTAAAACCGTATTGAGATTCAATAAGCAATCTGTGCCTATCAAGATGGCTACGAATTGCTTCGGCAATTATTGATTCCAAAATTTTCCCACTATGGAGGTAAGGCTTATTGGTCTATAGTTCGAAGCCAAGGACCTGTCACCTGCCTTGTAAATAGGTATTACATTTGCCATTTTCCACTTATCAGGCACTATGCCAGTTTGTAGTGATATGTTAAAAAGATTAGCCAAAGGTATGCTAAGTTCCTCTTTACATTCCTTTAACACCCTTGCAAACAGATCATCAGGGCCTGGGGATTTGTTAGGTTTTAGTTTCTCCATTTGTCTGAGGACCATGTCACTAGTTACCGCAATCGTGCATAGTTTATTATCGTCCTGTTCTACATAATCTATTATTTCAGGAATATCGCTAGTATTTTCCTGGGTGAAAACTGAGAGGAAGTAGGTATTGAGAATTTCACACACATCCTTATCACTGTCAGTGATCTGACCAGAGTTACTCTTAAGTGGGCCAATCTTGTCCCTAATCTTACTTCTGTATACCTGAAAGAACCCTTTTGGGTTAGTCTTTGAATCCCTTGCGACCTTAGCCTCATAATCCCTTTTTGCTTTTCTTATTCCTTTCTTCATTTCTCTCTTTAATTGAATATATTGATTTCTTAACTGCCCATCCCTCGTTTGATACGCCTATATATGCCTCTCTTTTGACCAATGAGATGTTTTAATCTATTGTTCATCCACTTGGGATCATTTTTGTTAGATCTAATTTCCCTACTCGGAACAAAAGTTGTCTGGGCAGCTAGAACTATGCTTTGAAAAACGTCATATTGGCAACCAAGATCACCTACCTGACCCATAGTCAGGACGTCCCAATTTAGCCCCATCCCCCACAGGTAATTTTTCAGTCCCATAAAGTCGGCCAAACGAAAATCTGGACAGAGATTTGATTGCAGTTATCTGGGTGATTCAATGATATATTGAAACTAAGTGATTTGTGATCACTTTCCTCAAGCTCATCATTAACCTCAAGATTATTAATCAGTTACTCTTTGTTGGCAAGAACCAAGTCAAACAGATTGTTTCTTCTAGTTGGTTCTGTCACAACCTGTTCTAAAAAGCAATCCTGAACCGTATCAAGAAAGTCACTAGACTCATGATTTCCTGTCATATTGTTCAAGTCAGTTTGTCTAAAGTTAAAATCTCCCATTATCACAACATTTTCATATCTAGATGCCTTATGAATTTCGTCCCATAACAGCTTACTGCACTCCCTATCAAGGTTTGGGGACCTATAAATCACACCCAAAATTAATTTGTTAGGACCCTCGAGAAACTGTAGCCAAACAGATTCTGGGTTCGATGTTTCTAATCTTATATCATGTTTAAGACAACAATTTAAATTTTCTCTGACATACATCGTCACTCCACAACCCTTCCTGTTGACCCTATCAGTGTGGAATAGTTTATAACCCTGTATGTTGCATTCAGAAGGCATTTCTCTACCTTTCAGGTTGAACCAGGTCTCTGTTATACCAATAATATCTATATTACCCGCACTTGCAAGTAATCTTAACTCATCTATCTTATTTCTTAGACTTACTATTTATATAGTAAACCTTAAGGGAGCTAGTCACTCGTTGCCCTCTAATATCTCTCTTTTGTTTATTGATCAGTTGATTTGCCATTACTAGCAACTTTATTTTGAATATTGTCTTTTAAACATATCCCTGAGGTATTTATGTCAGAGCTCTTAATACATCACTCCTCACAGAAACTTTCCCCTTCTAACTCGCTTACAATAATACAGCAGCATTTACGTAAGCAGCATTTATGAAAGTATTATATAGAACAGGATAGCGAAAGAGCTAGCTTAGGTTAGTAAAAGTTAGTCAGGAAACAGGACAAGTGTTTCCCGACGCGGGTCTTAGTCATATGATAACCCACAGCTGGAGATTTTGGTCATCTGACCGAGGCCTTCCAATAGAGGTATGTACACTATAAATTTTCAAGCAGAGTGCCGGTGAGCCAGTATGTAGGAATTAAGACCATTATCTATTTTGAGTGACTGCCGCCTGCACTCTCACTCGCCAATATACTTCACAAGATTTGCATGTATATTCTCTGCAGGTTTTCTCTCTGCTCAGACTATACCATGCAACTCACACCATACAATAGTCTCTCTTATCAAATTCTTTTATATAGTGAGATTTTTTTGTATACAAATGCTGTAAAAAAAAGGTCATCTCAAAATAAAAGGTTTTCGGATTAGATTTTGCCACCGAAGTTGCTAGTTTGTTGTGGTCCCCAGACCCATCCTGTGGACGCTAGTGAAGACCATATGATACACAAAAGGCCTAGGAACTAAGCCCCATAAAAATGAAAGGCACTTGAAAAGACCTTCAAAAAACACGCCATATAATTTTTGGATAAATATTTCTAGTTACAATACAGAGAGCAGCTTTATAAGCGACCTGACCGGACATACACCCAGAAGTGTATATATCTCAGTGTATATACACCAAGAAGTATATATATCTCAGTGTATATACACCAAGAAGTGTATATATATATTATATATATATATATATATATATATATATATATATATATATATATATATGCAAAACAACCACTCTGAAAGATAGAGAAATTCCAAGCGCTTTCGTGACTACTCACATTTATCAAGGAACTATAGTTCCTTGATAATGTGAGTAGTCACGAAAGCGCTTGGAATTTCTCTATTCTTCAGAGTGGTTGTTTTGCATATTTGAAATCACCTTGTTTACTGTGATCTTATTGCATATATATATATATATATATATATATATATATAATGTCGTGCGAATATGTAAAACTGGTCATATTAGCAAGAACTCATTAAATTAAGTCTTTCTGAAATTTTCTCTTATACCTTTAAAGATATATTTTTTTCATTAAGTTAATGTAAAAAATTTTAATTTGCTCCAAAAGAATCTTAGAAAACTTACCTAACCTTATTATAACAAGAACAATTTATTTTAGCCTAACCCAACTATATATATTTTAGATTTGTTTACAATAATTTAATACTAAATAAACACAATGAAATATATTATTTTCGTTAGGTTCAGAATGATTTTGGCGAAATTATTGCATACACAAATTTTCACTTGTCCTATATGGCAAGATGAACGTTGCTATTTAAGCCAAGATCGCAAGTTCTGCCATATTCGGCACGATATATATATATATATATATATATATATATATATATATATAATATATATATATATATTATATATATATATATATTATATATATATATATATATATATATATATTGGTGTATATATCTCAGTGTATATACACCCAGAAGTGTATATATCTGTGTATATACACCGGGAGTTTACATTTAGTCAGTATTTTAGGCATTAAAATATTCTTGGTGGACAAGTAACGTGCGCAATTAATTACCTTTAGGCCCAAAGGGTCGTTAATTCTATATTCTAATTTATAGGCTTTAAACCCCATTCCCCTCAAGGGAGGTTCCTTGATGCTGGTGAAGGGCTCTTGATCTGAGGAATTGGACCTGTGCTCGAGTTCCCATCCCCTCCCTACAGGCGCTGTATAATTCCTATGGTTTTAGCGCTCACCCATTATAATAACAATTTAAACCCAGTTAACCAGCCACCCCACAACCCCACCAGTAGACGGTGACTGTGGTGACAACCCCACCAGTAGACGGTGACTGTGGTGACAACCCCACCAGTAGACGGCGACTGTGGTGACAATCCCACCAGTAGACGGTGACTGTGGTGACAACCCCACCAGAAGACGGCGACTGTGGTGACAATCCCACCAGTAGACGGTGACTGTGGTGACAACCCCACCAGTAGACGGTGACTGTGGTGACAACCCCACCAGTAGACGGCGACTGTGGTGACAACCCCACCAGTAGACGGTGACTGTGGTGACAACCCCACCAGTAGACGGTGACTGTGGTGACAACCCCACCAGTAGACGGTGACTGTGGTGACAACCCCACCAGTAGACAGTGACTGTGGTGACAACCCCACCAGTAGACGGTGACTGTGGTGACACCCCCCACAGTAGACGGTTGACTGTGTGACAACCCCACCAGTAGACGGTGACTGTGGTGACAACCCCACCAGTAGACAGCGACTGTGGTGATAACCCCACCAGTAGACGGCGACTGTGGTGACAACCCCACCAGTAGACGGCGACTGTGGTGACAACCCCACCAGTAGACGGCGACTGTGCTGACAACCCCACCAGTAGACGGCGACTGTGGTGACAACCCCACGAGTAGACGGCGACATGTGTGACAACCCCACGAGTAGACGGCGACTGTGGTGACAACCCCACGAGTAGACGGCGACTGTGGTGACAACCCCACGAGTAGACGGCGACTGTGGTGACAACCCCACGAGTAGACGGCGACTGTGGTGACAACCCCACCAGTAGACGGTGACTGTGGTGACAACCCTACCAGTAGACGGTGACTGTGGTGACAACCCCACCAGTAGACGTGACTGTGGTGACAACCCACAGTAAGACGTGACTGTGGTGACAACCCCCCAGTAGACGGTGACTGTGTTGAACAACCCCACCAGTAGACGGTGACTGTGGTGACAACCCCACCAGTAGACGGTGACTGTGGTGACAACCCCACCAGTAGACGGTGACTGTGGTGACAACCCCACCAGTAGACGGTGACTGTGGTGACAACCCCACCAGTGTTGCTAACGTCTAAAACGAAGATTTTGCTGAATATCAAGTTTTTATTCCTTAGTAAATAGAATGATGATCACCGGCAGACTGAAGCTCAGTGATTGCTTCTCATCACAAAACATTGAATCTGGAATCGATTCCCGGGCGGAAGAAGACGTAGGAGCAAGTTCCCTGCCTTAAGTTCACCTGGCAATAACTAGGTGATCTTAAGCACCAAATGTGTTGCATGTATGGAATCAGTGTTGTACAAGTGAGTTGTTGCGTGTGCTGAGTAGTTAGGTGTTGCGAGTGAGTCTTGAGGTATTGTGGGTGAGTCTTGAAGTGTTGCGGGTGAGTCTTGAGGTGTTGCAGGTATGGAGTCAGTGTAGTGCAAGTTGCAGGTGCGATGTTGCATATATTGAGTAGTTTCGCGTTGTAGGTAAGCCAAGAGAGGTGTTGCATGTGTTGCAGGTAAGGAGATGGTGGACTATATTGCTGATTACCTGGACAACATCCGGGAGAGGCGGGTGTTCCCGCAGGTGGAACCCGGGTATATGCGAGACCTGGTACCCGACGCTGCCCTGAGCTGCCTGAACCCTGGGACAACATCTTCAACGATGTAGAGAGAGTCATCATGCCTGGGGTAGGTATTCTTTCTCCCTCTCTATTGCCCTCTTGCCTAGTATGATCACTCAAGTTCACTAATCTTGACACTTTTCAAAGACATTCTCTGGTACATTTCTGAAAATCAAAATAATGCTGAAATAACTTGCCATTTTATTTCTTCCAGCTTTGCGCATTTTTAATGTTCTCTATAAATTTCCCAATCAAATATTATGCTTGTAAGTTTTTTTTATCCATTTTCGGCGTGTTGCTTCACGTTATCTGCGTCCACATGGTGTGTGCACCCATCTTGTATGTGTCCACATGGTGTGTGCACCCATCTTGTATGTGTCCACATGGTGTGTGCACCCATCTTGTATGTGTCCACATGGTGTGTGCACCCATCTTGTATGTGTCCACATGGTGTGTGCACCCATCTTGTATGTGTCCACATGGTGTGTGCACCCATCTTGTATGTGTCCACATGGTGTGTGCACCCATCTTGTATGTGTCCACATGGTGTGTGCACCCATCTTGTATGTGTCCACATGGTGTGTGCACCCATCTTGTATATGTCCACATGGTGTGTGCACCCATTTTGTATGTACTTCATCACGGTGTGTGCACCCACCATACATGCAGGTGACACACTGGCAGTCACCATATATGCACGCCTACTTCCCGGCACTGAACTCTTACCCATCACTGCTGGGAGACATGTTGGCTGATGCTATCAACTGCCTCGGCTTCACCTGGGTAAGTCCTCTCTCCTTACCCTCTTTTTCTGGTGGAATATGATTGGGGAAACTTAACTAGCTTTTCGTCCCACGATGAAACTATGGCATCAATTAGAGTAAGAAGTACAACTTAATAAGTTAGAGGTTACTATAATGAGGCAGTGTTTAGTAATGAGTTGTGGTGGTACAGGCGTCATCGCCAGCCTGTACTGAGCTGGAGATGGTTGTCATGGACTGGCTGGGCAAGATGATCGGCTTGCCGGAGCACTTCCTTCACTCCTGCAAAGACTTTCCTGGAGGAGGCGTCATACAGGTGAGACACACAGTGCCGTTGCTAGGGTTGGTGTCACCCGGGGCGGCGTCTTTGGTGTCACCCACATGAAATCCAAGGTCGGGGGGATGGGGGGAGTAAACTCCAGTTGCGTCACTACCGCATGACCAATGACTAATGTTTAGCAATGAGAACGTTTAAGGGCAATAAAGCGAACAGGACAATACTTCTCAACTTCATTAATGATAAATAATGGTAGTAATATTGAGGAAATATAAACTCAAATACCACCTTGAGTACATTTATTCGACTTCAACAATGCCCAAAAAAAAAAAAAAAATGAAAAATAAAGAAAAACATTGCAATATCAGAGAAACACTAGTTCCGATTTGACCTTGAGTACAGGTAACATCTCAATGAATCAGATCTTACATTTCCTTGCCTTCAATCCTGCAAAATCATCTATCACTTCATCAAAATCAATGCTGTCAACTGACCCATTTTCTATGGATAACATTGCTATGTCAGAGATTCTGGATCGACTCATTGTGAACCTTAAATAGTTTTTAATCAGCTTCAACTTGGAAAAACTCCTTTCACAAGAAGCCACAGAAACACATATAGTAAGGAATCACCTCAGGCAGAGTGTCAGAGTTGGAAGAGATTCAATGAAATCCCATTCAGCTATGAATGTTAGTGTATCCAATGCAGTCCAGTGCTTAACTTAACCTTGCAGGTGTCTCTTTAGTCTTGGTATTTCAAGCATGAGCTCATTCTTGCATATTTCATTATAGAAGACTGTGAGTCTTGAAGCCATCACCTCCAATTCTTCTTCAGTAGCTTGCACAAGATTCTTCGTTGGAATGACCACAAAACATGGCTGCCACATCCTTGATTGCTTTTGATCGCATCTCAAGTTCATTATGAAAACGATCAATGTACTCGAACATCGCCATCTTGTTTTCTTCCTGTAGAGTGAGTCCGAAATCTCTTGCTTGTTCCCCTGTCATCCTTTTCTTTACCTTGATTCTTCTCTCTGTTGGAAATCCATGCTCCTCACATTTCAAAAGTGCTGTTGTATTGAATTCTCCACAATGCGATCTCACCCTTCATACAAAAATAATCGCAGTGCCTCTAGCTTCACCACTTTGTCAAGAGTTGAATCCTTAGTCTGCAAGTACTGCTGTGCAAGCTAAACATCCTGAAGTATGTCACACCACAAATACAGATAACACAAAAATGTGAAATCGCACACAGCAGAAGAAGACCTTGTGCTGCTTCTCTTGTATCCAAATTTTCCTGTGGATCGCAAAGACTTTCAATCGCTGCCACAAATTTCTCGAACGATTCCACTACTGGTTTCACTGCACTGTAATGAGAATTCCATCTTGATGTTGATAATCTTTATAAAGAGACTGCAGTATGGTCCATTAATACATTAATACATCCCATCGATGGGTGGAGGAGGCAAAGAATGTACACGCTTACTCAAGACTGCCAAAAAATTTCGCACATGATGAATTCTCGGCAATAGAATGCTGACCACACAAGTTCAGTGAATGGTCCACACAACTACTGAAAATTGCCTTCTTGTTATTTTCCTTAATAATGGCTTGTACACCTCCATGGACCCCGGCCATGGTGGCAGCATTGTCATATCCTTGAACACGGCACAGCAGGAAGTCCAGTCCATCACTTTCCAGCTTTTCAGGATATCAGAACTGATATGAGTAACAATTTTGCCCTTCAAAGGGAAAAAAACAAGTATAACTTTCTTCATTTGAACTTTTTCGTCCTCCATTTGCACGTACCTGATAACTTCTAACATTTGGTCAGTGTGTGACGCATCTGGTGTACTGTCAAACATAACGCTGTAGTATACAGCTGTCTTGATATCAGTAACAAGCTTATCTTTGACTCGACTTGCCAGAACACTTAAAAACTCATTTTGAGTTGATGGTGAGAGATACGAAACTGATGACCTGTGTTCACTTGAGCTGCACTTCAGTCTCATTAGCTGCTCTTTTAGCACAGGATCATGTTTAACCATTAATTCAACCATCTCAAGAAAGTTTCTTCCATTTGATGAGAATTCGTCCTCCCTGTGGCCACGAAATGTTAGGTTCTGTTTAGCCAGAAACAGTGTAATGTCCAGGAACCTATACAATATTTCCCTCCACTTTTTTTCTGAATTCCCATGTAAACAATTATTTCTGCATCTATGGTTTTGTTCACCCTTAGACCGGCTGCTGATGTTATACTTGTAACACTAGAGGTAAACAATCTACAGCAGTAACAGTATAATTTCCCACTGACTGGCGAGTACACCATCCATGATCGCAAAACTTTCTTACCATTCAGCATCTGTTTGTAGAACCATTCTTTAGAAAGCTTACGTTCATCCCCTTTTGCATTTTTCCTCTTTGTGACACGAAAAGGGCCATCTTTGTTCTGATAAACATAACTACCTCTTTTGATGATTGCAATCCTGGAATGGTCTGGAACTAGAATTCTCTTAGAAGAAACGTCACACATCGAGGCTAACTCTCTCTGACTCTCATTCCCTTCATTCCTCTCACTTATATTACCATTGTCGGAGTCAGAATCGACATCAGTGTTATCAGTAGGATCATGACTAAAATCATTTGATGAACTCTGGCCATTATCGGGTTTCTTGAGATATTGAACCATAGACTCAGCCATTTTTCTCATCAGCTGAACTTTTTAATTTTTTGCCTTCCTTTGTTGGCATCCGGAGGCCTCTTTGATTTATTGCATTCCATGAGGCATAATATTACATCAGTGATCTGAAAAAAAGAATGCCAGGTTCACCGTTATAGTTTTGAATATTCGGTAATTTTTAATGGTGACAAACAAATGGTGCCAATTCTGTTATCCTCCTGAGGATGAAATGAATTAGGAAAGAAATAAAGGTTAAGTTCAAATGAAATATACCGCAAATAATTCTGTTGTTTCATGATGCGTTAATTTTTTACTAGTACCTAATTTGGATATTTAACTAGATTGACCGGCTGAGACCAAAGTAAAAAAAAAATAAGTTCTACTTGCATTGATTGACGAAATATTTCTAATGCTTTCATAATTATGATGTAATACTAAGTGTACCATATATTTCAGTGAGTCTCTTATACCTATAGCTTTAGCCCAAAGTATGTAAGCTACAATACATGGTATTAAAGATATTGACATAAATCAGTAGGCTAAGTATGCACATGTGTTATTGAACATGACATGCAAATTTATAAAACAAATTTACTGACAAAAACTGGCCTTACTTTTGAACTTTTATTATGCAAATTTCATAACTTTACGGAATGTGAGTTCAAACTTGATATTAAATCACTGATTGCACGATACACTGTCCTTAAGCTAAATAAAATGCTCAGTGATAGCTAAATATATAATGGAAAAGTATTTCATAGGAACCGGTTATTTTGAAAAAGCATAATTCATAAACATTGGCAGTTACGCAGGTTATTTCAAACTCATGTGTCGGTTCTCAGCCGTTACATATCTGATCATACAATGACATCAGTAAGCAAAAGTAAAGCTCAAAATATGATAATTACCTGAACCTGTGTGTGTTTAACCCAGCCACATACACACCACCGCATGGACCAAACTCACTCGTGGGTGGTGCAGCAGCCACATACACACCACCGCATGGACCAAACTCACTCGTGGGTGGTGCAGCAGCCACATACACACCACCGCATGGACCGAACTCACTCGTGGGTGGTGCAGCAGCCACATACACACCACCGCATGGACCAAACTCACTCGTGGGTGGTGCAGCAGCCACATACACACCACCGCATGGAACAAACTCACTCGTGGGTGGTGCACCAGCCACATACACACCACCGCATGGACCAAACTCACTCGTGGGTGGTGCACCAGCCACATACACACCACCGCATGGACCAAACTCACTCGTGGGAGGTGCAGCAGCCAAACATACACACCACCGCATGGAACAAACTCACTCGTGGGTGGTGCACCAACCACATACACACCACCGCATGGACCAAACTCACTCGTGGGTGGTGCAGCAGCCACATACACACCACCGCATGGACCAAACTCACTCGTGGGTGGTGCAGCAGCCACATACACACCACCGCATGGAACAAACTCACTCGTGGGAGGTGCAGCAGCCACATACACACCACCGCATGGAACAAACTCACTCGTGGGTGGTGCAGCAGCCACATACACACCACCGCATGGACCAAACTCACTCGTGGGAGGTGCAGCAGCCACATACACACCACCGCATGGAACAAACTCACTCGTGGGTGGTGCACCAGCCACATACACACCACCGCATGGACCAAACTCACTCGTGGGAGGTGCAGCAGCCACATACACACCACCGCATGGACCAAACTCACTCGTGGGTGGTGCAGCAGCCACATACACACCACCGCATGGAACAAACTCACTCGTGGGTGGTGCAGCAGCCACATACACACCACCACCTGGACCAAACTCACTCGTGGGTGGTGCAGCAGCCACATACACACACCCGCAATGGACCAAACTCACTCGTGGGTGGTGCAGCAGCCACATACACACCACCACCTGGACCAAACTCACTCGTGGGTGGTGCAGCAGCCACATACACACCACCACCTGGACCAAACTCACTCGTGGGTGGTGCAGCAGCAACATATACACCACCACCTGGACCAAACTCACTCGTGGGTGGTGCACCAGCCACATATACACCACCACCTGGACCAAACTCACTCGTGGGTGGTGCACCAGCCACACATACACCACAACCTGGACCAAACTCACTCGTGGGTGGTGCAGCAGCCACATATGCACAACCACCTGGACCAAACTCACTCGTGGGTGGTGCAACAGCCACATATACACCACCACCTGGACCAAACTCACTCGTGCGTGGTGCACCAGCCATATATACACCACCACCTGGACCAAACTCACTCGTGGGTGGTGCAGCAGCCACATATGCACAACCACCTGGACCAAACTCACTCGTGGGTGGTGCA